ACTTTTAAGAATACACTGAACTATGAGGACAAGCTCTTGATTATTCACCGTGTTTGGGGCTGGGGTTGCAAACTAACCCCTTCCCTTCGTTTTGGACTCTCGCATTGCCATCTCAGTCACCCAGAGGAGGCAAGGGGGAATTCAACTATTTCTGCTGGCTTTCCTTTATCTCTGCTGCTCTTGCCCCAAATCTGCGTAATACTGCTGCCATTAATAACCATTTTTACACCATTTAGAAATAGTTCCAGCAAAATTCTTAGTTATATGACTTCTGCTTGTTTTAAATCCAGGGACCCTTCAGCTGCCTTGCCACCTACACTCCATTTCCCAGAAATATAGACACCTTTGCCTGATGCATTACTTGCGGTAGGTAACCTTTGGCTCAATAAGGTACCTGGACATTGAGATTTACAGTGTTTTCTTTTCTAATCACTATGTACAAATGTGCTGCATCACTGAACTAGAAGACCCCATTTGGATCAAAACCATAACTAGAAATACCTAACACTTAAATATCTTAAATACTGTGAAATCAGTATTTGAAAAACTGACATACATTTAATTGATATCTAGGATGAACTCTTATTTAAAATTATAGACCTTGCTCCTCCTATATTGTTTCAATATATTTAAAATAAGATAATAAAAAATCTGAACAGTTCACCCATTTCTCACACTCCCGCCTCTTGCAACCACTGATGTTCTCCTTATCTATGTCCTTTTCTAAAATGATTCTACATATGAGAGAGATCATACAGTATTTGTCTTTCTATGTCTGACATATTTCACTTATATTCTCACTTATCCACTGAGTGGTATGAGGAACACTACATCAGAATCTTCATTTGGGCGACGATGAGCTGACAAACCTGTGTACAAGTCATCCGAAAGGTGAGTGGGCCGGAGGAGAAGCATAGTTTTGCATCAATTATCTGCATAATTGCGTTAGATACCCACATTATGTGTACCTATTTGGAATAAAATACCAACATTTTATCCATTCACAGATTATCTGTTTTCTAATAACATTAGTTATTTTTTGGTATTCAAAGTTTAGTTATCTGACCACACACAGCCAACCACTCATCATAGCCTTTTCTTAAATGCATATAAATTCTTTTATATTGCAGACTCTTGGTGTTTATATAATGCAGAATGTCTCTTTCAATTAAATATACAGATGTCCACATTAGTTATGTTTTGATTTACCATTCAGAAAATACAGAGTGAGGCAAAAGTAGGTTTATATTCATTTGTATGGAAAATACAACAATTACTACAAGAATAATCTGTTTAATGTACTCACAACTGTAAATCTTCTTTTGCCCCACCCTGTATTTATGCTAGCTTCGTATGAACCATTCCCTTTACTTTTTCAATAAGTACTAAAGCAGAAGCTAACAACTAAATGAAAAAGGTAGAAACTAAACAAAAGTTGTATTTTAAAATGAAATGTGAAAACATGTGCCAAATTAAGAAACACTTATGTACATATTTATGGCAACTTTCCCCATTACACGAATAGCTCAGATATTTGTACAAAAACATTAAGTCATAAATCCACTTGAGAATAAATGTAACAATGGACATGTAGAACAGGTGCACGTGCACATGCACACAGATGCTAAATTTACAAAATGCGTCAGGTAACTGGTAGCCATGATTGAATTAAGAGTACTGAGTCATCCCAGGTTCCAATTATATTTGCACACACATTGTACATTTAGAAAAACCTTACAAATAATCCTATTTTTCCAGGAAGACCTTTATAGGTAACAATTTAACACATATAGTAAGAAAACATCTCAAATTCATATAATCACAATGAGATAAATTAAACAGTTTATAAGCTGATGGCTATTATGAATAAAGAATTCACAATACTTTTCCATTTTTCATGTTTGACACAATAGCATGTCCTTTATTCATTCTAACATAGTTACTGTTAAGCTTTTTAATTGTATTAATGTAAGGAAAGTAAAACATTTTGAAATATGATCCAATAGAAAGCCAGACATACACACATTTTAAACAGTAGTTTATACTAAGGAAATTTCTAATTTAAAGAAATTGCTAAACTTAAAATATGTAAACCAGACAGATTATTTGACTTGTTGTTTCCTAATAAGTAGATGGCGAATTATATTTCATTGAGCAATTTTACCATGACACGATGGAAACTGAGTTGACAACGTATTATACTGTGTTCTGAGAACACTGTAAGGGATCCGAATTGCACTTTCTTGGCAATGTACTAAGGTCATTTGGGGAAAGTAAGAAAGTGGGATAAAGTTGTAATATGAACTGGGAATATACCTTTTATATATTTTTTTCTAGGAATATTAACACTCACCTTTGTCATGTTAACTGCACAGTTTATTTTAAAAATGAAATGCTAAATATTCCTAGGAACAGATTATAACATTTCAGTGACTGGGATAATCAAAATGAGTCCAATTTATCCTGGAGACAGTAAATCCACAAAGAGGGAAGACACAAACTGTAATTCTCTATGTGAAAAGAGTCCCACTTTAAAATTTACAGTATCTACAGAGAGTACTGTATTTAGTTTGTAAGGATGTAGACAGCAAAAATATTCACATTAAGCTACTTACAGAAATTGTTTCTTTTATTCAGGAAGACCAATTACACTAAGTTAACAGGGAAAACTTAACAGAGGAAATTCTGTTTAGGAGACTTATTCAACTGAGAGTTTCTTTTTTAGAATATAGTTTAGAAGAGTAATTAGAGAGGTCTCAGGTGCTTTTCATCTGTAGGTCATCTCTTTCAATACGAATTACAGTTCCGTGGGTAATGGTGAAATAAATTGATAATGTCAGTTCTATTTATTGTAAACAAATGTCAGCATCAAAAAAACTATACATAGGCCCTGTCTGGGTAGCTTTGTTGTTTGGAGTATTGTCCCCATATGCCAAGGTTGTGGGTTCAATCCCCAGTCAGGGCACATAAGAGAAGCAATCAATGAATGCATAAGTAAGTGGAACAACAAATCGATGTCTCTCTTTTCATAAAATCAATAAATAAAAATTAAAAAAAACTATATGTAATTATTGCATGATTCCTGGCAGTGAAGGAACCAACAATTAAACGATCATTTATGCTCTTACCTTCAGATGCAGCACCTTCATAAGGAGGCCTAATGTGGATACGCTAACGGGGGTATGTTAAAGGTGGGCATAGGCGATCCATCTACTTATGTCTTGCACTACTCTTTTCAACCCAAATCACTTTCATCACCTACTTTGCCAGTGAAATAAAAAGCATTCAAAGGAAAGAATTATGTCTAATAGTAACCAGTTATGTTATAATATAATGTAAATCATAGTGGGAGTGTTTTGTGAGCAAACTTCACACCACCACCCTCAACACACCTGTGCGCACACACACCTATAGTATGTAAAATGGAAGTGTATTCATAGTGGTTCACCATTCTTTCTCTTACTTTCCCCATATTTCTCAAGGTATGATTCACAGACCCAGGGAGCCCCTCACAACAGGTACTACACGCAAACACAACTCTGGCTCCTCAGAGTGAACAGGCAACTTACTTCACTTACAGGGAGGTTAAGATAAAGGACTAATCCATTTTTTGGAAAACACTTTTGGCAACTTTTCCCGCTCCATATTGAACCTCTCCCACACTATACACGCCTGCACTACTTTTATCAGTTAGTGTTTTTATGGGAAGAGAATTATAGCACATTAACACATAAAAATGAAGGAAAAACCAGTGTCAAAATACCATCCTGCTTTGCAAAGTGAAGTAGCTGTGATTGTGACACTGTTTCTAATTAACAGTAATAATCAAGGAATGTAAATTGCAGTGATTTCTCCTGGGAAAACTATATACTATATGAAGAAGAAAATTGCAAGGGCTGAGGAGGTAAAAAAGGTTCAGTCTGTGTCTTATTTCTACTGGAGAGTGCAGGGACTGGGGGCGCGGGGCGGGCGGCAGGGAGAAAGCCAAAGCAGAAATGAGCCAAGGCATCATAGTGGGGAGGACTAGAGCAAACTTTCTGCCAGGGAGCAGTTCTGGATGCTTTGCTAAATGGTTCCAGAATGACAATGTGAAGAAATGGTATGGACAGATGTAGAGCTTCCTCATGTCCCAAACTGAACTCCTTTATTTCATTGGCTGTCTTTTAAACTATAGGAAGTAGTGGTAACTGAATGGTCCTATGAAATGCAACAGAGTCCAGATATGTCAGAGAATCATAAAAATAGAATTAGAAGTTTCTCTATTTTATTCCTAGAAAGAAAGCGGTGTTTTGGGATCTTTCCATGGCTCAGGGAACAACATTAATGTATTAATCTTTGGCAGCAGAGAAATCTTAACCTCATATTCTTAGTGTGTAATTCCTATTCATTAGCAACTGAGTCTAAGCTGAACACTTGAAAAGGAGCACAAAGGTTCACCCATCGAATGCGTGGTGTATTACCAGATCAATGGCCCTCCATAGCCTTTGTTCTGAGGCCAACTTTACTATAAGAAAGACAGCTAGTTATAAATATACATACCTTAGAAAGAATTTGATGTGTCTTCAACTATGTGAGTTAGGCCGAATGCAAAGCAGAGTAATGAGAAGTAATGTTTTCATCTATTACTTATTTTCACATTTCATATGTTCAAGGTAGGCAAGAATTGCTGATATTATTACTGTGGGGTGAAATATGTAAAAATAACGCAGGAACAGGTGTTTCATATCAAGTCCAAACAAATGCGTGGATGGAGATGAAAAACATGAGAGAAAAGATTAAGTGATCTTAGTATAAGAGAAAAGGAGAGGGTTTAAATGATTCAAACCTAAACAAAAATTAATATACAGATATACTATCCTCCATTTGGTATACAAGAACATTATTTTATATTAAAATTAAGTATCCTTATTTTCTGATTTTCTTAAATATAATTTTCTTCTTAAAAATAAATTTTCAACTATTTCAAGAATTTAAAAAATTTGAAATAGCTATTTTAACCTGGGTTCCAAGAGAGAAAAATGAATAAATACTTATGATGAGTTGATTGCTATTTCTTGAAAAAAATCAAATTTTACTTTTTTTGACCAAATAGGCTAGAAATAATGGGACCCATATTGCTATTCGTATTCCAATATTACCCCTAACATAAAGGCCAAGTAAAATAAGGTTCACGAGTCTTTGTGATAATAAGAAACAATACCTTCGTAGAAGGCAAATAAAAGAAATTCAAGATCAGTAACAATAAAGACTCAACCAAACATTTGAAAATTCTAGATTAAGCTTCACCACAGGACTGTCAATGTTCACACAGTTATCACAGACAGTGAAAGGTAAACTTGTTCTCAGTCGATTTATGTGTCAGTACAAAGTGTCATCTTCAGGTTACCTTAGCTTGAGTTAAAGATCTTTTAGTTCGAATTCTCCAGGAAAGTTCTTGAAAGCTTGAAGCTGTTCTCCAGTGCGCAGTCCTAGATTCCAACACACTATCTGATTAATGGTGACTCATTGGATTAGAATTTGAATCTGGAACATAAATTTAATTCAGCCTAACTTCTTCACTTCTACAGTTCTGCCCAGCATCCCTGTCACGCACAGGCAAAATCTTTATTTTCATAAGGAATAAATCATTACAAATTTGAGAGAAATAAGTCACCTGGGATCAGAAACTAGCAAATATACCGCCAAATTTTCATGTTAGAGACCATAAGCCTAAGGAAAGGAGTCCTCTTACCTGATATTAAACAAAGCTTTTCAAAAAGTCTTTGCAGTTTGGAAATATAGTTGATGTTTATCAATGGCCATATGCATCACAATTTTAACAAGAAATGATCACCAACTTATCTTTTAGAGTCTACAATTAAAGTTGTCACACTTTCGTATTATGATTTTGCAGTTTGTATGTACAATTACACACAAAACCTCCAAAATATCTGGAAGGTGCCACAGAGCAAGGGGCTTTCATAAGAAAAGTGGTTTAAAAAATTGTTTTTTCTAACATTTAGTCATTTTATTTCTGAACAGTTACACATGTAGATTAAGCCTGCTGAAGTCAATGGCCAAATGAAATGCAGTTACGCTAAACGATTTCCCTCTGAATAAAAGTTCTACACCGTGGGAAGAGAGCAGGTGCTCTGCTGCCAGGAGAAAGGTATGCGCAGACGGGACCGTCACCAGCCACTTCTGCTGCTAGTGAGCAGGACACCTGGCTAGAAAGGCAACGCTCCAGAGCCCCTTGGCTGTGGTAAAAACTCTTCCTCCTTGTGATGAAAGTCTCAGTATTTGAATGCATCTTCTTTGCAATGTCTATGTGAAAATGTTCACAAGAAGAATAAAAATCAGATATCACTTCATATTGGTATGTTTTAAAAATTTACCTTTAGTTTTCCTGGTGAGAAGTGACAAATTCAAGCAAATGGTTTTCTTATTACTCCTGGCCTTTATCATGTTAAAGAGAAAATATGTTGCTAAAAATATGACAAGCCCTGTCACTTTATTGCTATGGTCTAAGTAATTGATGTTAATTAATAATTTTCTGTATAATCTAAGACAGACAAATCAAAAATTCCACCTAAAGCAGTTATTGAAGGAATATACTGTTAGGTTCCAGTTAGACTTCTGTTGAAGTATTTTTTTAAAACAAAGGGTACAAAAATATTTTCACTGAAGGTAGCTGAGAAATTGTTTGATTTGACATAAGATGAGGACACAGTTTCTCTTCTTTTTCTTCTTTTTTTTTTTTGAGACAGTACACTTTGTGATTCACAGGGTAACGTGCATCAGACGCAATTTAATGAAAGCTCTCAAATAAGCAATTTTATTCCTATCCATGATTGCAGACATTTACAAAACCATAACATCTGAGTTCACCTTAAAAAATAACTTATATAAAGCAGTGATATACACAGCACAAAATAGTTGAGGGAGGGGCAGGAGCAACTTTTAATAATTAAAATGTAAACGTGAAAAAAAGGATGGAATAAAAGTCCCTACTTATTTCTACTTAAGATGTCATGTGATAATATTTTACAATGTCCTGTGGGTCAATGTATGCATGTGTATATGTCCATATAACATACACATATACAATACATTCTCTTTCCCACACATATACATACACAGATAATTATTTGCAGTTCATTTTAGGGCAATTCTAATATGCCGCTCCGTACAGTTGTTTGAATCACGTTTGGACCCGCTTTCTTCACAAAATAGGGGAGAGAGCAGGAAATAAAAATGTTGGTTTGGTGTGACTGAGATTCCTTTGTTTAACTGTACACTGTGATGAATAATTTTCTTCCCTAGTAGTTCTGTGAAGGGCTGACTCACTGTGGTTTTCATGAGGAGACTTGGTAATGGATCACACACTCATTGTCATGCTAGGGGAGTACTAGAAAGAAAGAAGAATCCATATTTTAACAACAATTCTTTTACAGACAACTAATGTTCTTCATGGTAAACAAAGTAACTGTGAATTTTAATGTCTTATAATCTTTTACACTCAAGCTTTTAACCTCATACAACATAAAAATAAACTATAAAAAGAGTACTGGCTTAGTCCTGGAATTTTTACATTTCCTCTGGAGAGTAACCAGCTACCTGGACTTAGGTGGATGGTAATTACCCAGTCCCTTGGCCTTTTCCTTCCAGCCAGATGTATGTTTCATGGGCATTTGTTCCAACTTGGGGAAATCCAGCCCAAGGTTGAATCATATTAAATAAGTATGAGGGAGAGTTTTGCTATGTATTAGCTATGTAAACTTGGGAGGTTACTTAACATTTCTGTGCTTCAGCTTCATCTATAAAATAGGTTTAATAATAGCAACCACTTTAAAGGGGTTTTGGGAAGATTAAATACATAATCCTTAAAACCATGTATGTATTGAATACACAGAAAGTGCTCAGTAAATATTTGATAATAGTGTAAGGGAAACAAAACAAACCAGAAAACTATTCCTAGCTGGCCCTAAGAAGTTATCATTAAAGCATTTAGAACAATTACGAGTCTAGCTACACTTAAGCATATGAACATCTTTCCCTAATCCAATCTCAATCCATAATCTTTTCTGGGTCGAGGTAGGGCATGGTTGTTATGTAACTTGTCAGTTTGATGAGGGTGACACTTGGTAAAAGATGAGGCTTCCAGAAATTTGGAAGTAGACTCAAAAATGATTGAAAGGGGAACCAAGAGGAATTATTTGAATAATTATGCCAATTTCACCTCATATTCTTGAGGGACAGACTATAACAGAAAAGTTCTACAGCAACAGTATCCAATGGAACTGTCTTCAATGATGGACATGTTTTAAGGCTGTGCTGTTCAACATGGAAGCCACTGGCTACATGTTGCTACTGAGCACATGATATGTAGCTTGTACCACTGAGGAACTAAAATTTTAGTGTTATTTAATTTACTTAAGTTTAAAAACGCCATATAGCTAGTGGCCACCATTTTGGACAGCACAGTTCTAGATCCTCTGACGTGAGGGGAGCAGAATCCCAAAGGGCAGTGGTCTCCAGAGAAGAGCGTTTCTAGATTAAAATATACATGTGGACCCTGTATTCTATCCATGTTTTATTCAGGGACTTACGAGGACCAGGGCAAAAGGGAATTCCTTTTAACATGCTAATACAGATTGTGCCTCATGGAAAGAGGCAGAGAGACTCAAGGGGATTGGTCCAAGGCTGTAGGGACTTAACCTGGAAAAGTGATGATCCTGGGAAAGGGAGCATAAACTTTTAAAAAAGGGAGCAGATGGGACAGAATGAAGTAAATTCCACATGGGCTGAGGTATTGCAGCAACCAGAAATGAGGTAAAAGGTATGTACTTAGATAAAGATGGATTTATTAAAATAGAGAAAACAAGATTTCTCCAAGGAAGATCACAGGGCAACAATGGCTCAGCTGGCAGAAGTCTGGGCAGAAAGTTATTAGGCATAAATCTGGGGCTCAAATAAAAAAAATGTATTGATCCTGAATAAAGGTGGATGACTAGGCCTGAAAACAGGCCACTGAATGACGGGGGGGACTGTTAATCATTTACACACAGGTCAAATCAAGAAAAATCTACTGGTTAGTCGCTTAGCCTCAAATTTCCTTTCAATGTAAGAAAGCCAAGCTATATATGTTACTGATTCTACATGTTGTATTACAGTGAGTAGGGTGATTTAAAAAAAAGACTGCAGAGAAGAGAAGAGGGATTCAGTTTGACAGAAAACTTCTCCCCTTTACCCGTGATAGTGGCAGCAAAACAGCAAAGCAAATAAAAACCAAAAACCAGTGACAATCATGAACAAGGACTGATGACATGGAGCTCACCCCGACCCTGGGCTGGAAGGTGGATATACTCCCTATTTCAACAGTAGATACCACACAAATCTCCCATTGTAAATAATGACAGCAAGCTTCGGTGAGTTATCCACAGCTTTTGATGAAACAGAAGTATAGTTCTGTAACTGACTTTCAGGGGTAAGACTAAACAAGAGGAAAATATATGGATAGCAAGGTTTTATTAAAAGTAGAAAAATTTAGAGAATATGGAAAAATTGGCACAGAAAAATTTATGCTTTCTATAGCTACTGTTATTTACAATAAGAATCAGTGATCTGAACAGTGTTATCCAATAGAACTTTCTGGGTCATGCATGTGTTTTCTGTGTTGCCCAATCCAATAGCTATTAGCCACACGTCTACTGAATGCTTACTATGTAGCTAGTGCAATGTCGGAGTGAAATTTGGGGTGCATTTAATTGTAATTAATTTAAATTTGAATAACAGCCAGATCAATCATTATTTTGAGACAATGATTGTAGTGGGTATATCTTGCCAATAATCTAAAAATAGTAAAAGAAACTAGAGCATTTCAGAAAGAAATTCTAAGGAAATGTCTGAAAAATATTTTCTGGAGAAGTCATAATGAACCTCAGAGACCATCTCACTTAATGCACACGCTAAATCATTGGGGTTTTAAAAATTCTCGAATCTTTTTTTCATAGGATTATTCCAGTTCATGCACATGTCATGGATGTCATGTAATGTTAGGGGAGACAATTATAGATACATTATAGTCTTCATTCTAATAAATACTGTTAAAGGTATGGGAATATGTAAATAAACATGTGCACATTCTCTGCCTGTCAAGCATGTTTGTTGGTTGCTACCATCTCCTCAACACTGGCAATTGTTAAGATTTTTAACCTGTAACATTTCAAATGTTTACAGAAAAATGAAAACTTGTTACAGATTCACTGGGAAGTCATGAAAGCGAGGCTTGTCCAGGGAGAAAACTAAGTGGAAAAAATGAAGTACAATAAGAGAGAAAATAGGGTTAGCTTCAGTCCGAAAGGAAGCAGCTGCTCCAAGTCATATAACTCAGAAAAATGAGCAAGCATTTAATAATATTTAATGTTTGACTAGTGCAAGGAACTGTAAGATGATGCTCTACAGGTATTTGGTGCAGTGTAATAGATTGTACTGATATGTGAATGTCTCCATAAGCAATGTACTGTTTGCACTGGTAAGGCTACCACCCGCTGATCTGCTTCTGCCTTTATTGAAAATGTTTCACTGCATAAAATTAAGGGACATCACACAATTTCTAGAACAACTCACACAATGCGCATGTAAAAAGAAATTTTGCTATTGGTTACTATTCTTCAGAGTAGAAGAGAAGTGGCTTAGAGTTTTCCAGAAGAAACGGAAGAGTATGTGTTAAGTGGGGTATCGGATGTGGACACATTAAATATTCATGGGGTACTGTCCCGAGACCACACTGCAATGTTTCCATTGTACGGCTGCATCACTATGTGAAGGCATGCTGCAAGGTTTGCGCAAGAATGTTGTGGTATCAAGTTGCTGTTTCCAAACCACTGAGTCTACCTCTCCTCAAGCAAATGATAAAATGGCTCTTATCAAGCTGTTGACAGCATTAGTGTTTAGTTTAGCAAAAAACAAAAAACAAAAAACAAAAAAACCAAAACAAAACAAAAAACAAAAAAGTAAAACCTAAAGATATAATTTTCAACGCATAGTTCCTTGTTTTACCTTTTTATGTAAAATGCTTTTGAAATAACAGGACTTGGTATGTCCTAGAGAAATTTGGGATTTTTTCTTTGTTATACTCAGTTCACATACCATGGAGTCAATCAGCGATATCCATTGAATCCTTAAACAATGTGCATAAATTTCTGTTTATACACTTGGAGAACACTTCAGATCTCACTATATTTCTAAGTATCTATATTTTCTTTATGAGAGATAAGTAAAATGCAACTACTCTGAGCTATATTTCAGATCTGACCATATTTCTATTTCTAAATATCTATATAATATTTCATTTTCTTAATGAGAGATAACTAGGGCTACTCTGAGCTACTGTGAGATAAATATAGTATGTATATGATTATGTAAAAAAATTGACCACATGTGATTTCTTTACAATAGCAGAGAATGACAAAGGGCAGTAAGAGGGTAGGAGGAGGTGATCTTGCCCCTCGTTTGTAATTCCTACTTGATACCATGCTTTAAATACCAAGTTTTCTCAGTTGATTATAGTTCAATGCTATGGAGAAAATATTCTGCTAAATTAATTCAAGAAATAAGACTTTCTTTCTTTTTACTTGAGAAGCATGAAGCCCTATTTTTTGAACTAAGCCTTTTTGTAGCCTGTATTTTCAAAATCAAAAATTTTATAGAGTTCACACTAGGGGACCTCTTTGTTTCTTGAATTAAAGCCCTTATTTATGACCTAAAAAACAGGAGGTGTAGAGTGAAACATTTTTTATTCACATTTTTCTGTGTACAGCGTGTTGGCATTGCAAGGTTTCTTACTTCAGGTCAGGTATTTTTGTTTCCATATTAATTAAATGAAGTAGCATGTGTGAAGTGACCAGGATAGTCTGCATATAATAAGCACCCAATAGATGTCTGTGCCCTTCCTAGGCTTCCTTCTGTGGTTTACCTTCAAGATAAAGACTGACAAATCCTCAAAAGGCAGACTGCTCAACAATATGTGCTTTTCAGAGTTATGTGCATTAAAAGACACTTGAATTTTACAGCTTCATTCATTGAAAAATGTTTTCTTTTTTAATTTTGACAGTATATTTATTGTAGCTGGGGACAGTGAAACAAGGAAGGGCTTAGGACAGAAGAAAGCATAGGAGAGAGCCTAGGCGCTGTTGCATTGTCTCCCTAGAAATGTCACAGGAAAGAAAGGAGCGTAGGCGGGACTGCTTTGGGTCACTGCAAAGTCAGAGAAAAGGGGCTTCGGAGACAGGTTCAGGGGGTGAGCCTGGGACGAGCTTCTGCTGCCCATTGCTCCCTGCTTGCAAGTCTCATGGGAACCCTTAAGAGTTCAGGAGATGCACATCTGAGAGGGAAGAAAGGCATGGGCATACTCCTGGGACGGAAAGGGCACTGTTTTCTTTCTGAATTCATTGAATAGTTATGCTTTTCCTTGATTATGGTAAAGATAACTTATTGAAGATACCTAGTCTATTTTTTCTTAAGGCCTTACATTTGTCTTCTGTCTTCCTTCCTCTCTGCTCTCACTTCTTGATGTTTTTAAAAAGTCCAAACAAAAATGTGCGGTGGTGATGTGATAGAGAAGACCAAGATAACAATGACATCATTCATAATATGGCAGACCCCTCACCAGACAAACAAAAGAACAAAGCAGCCAGTGCGGACTTGCTACTACGGTTGCATGACCTCCTGGTGGCAGTGCAGGTTCTCAACCACCATCCATTTATTTTCCTGTTAGGGACTTTTCTGGTGGGGACGAGAAAGGGAGAGGAAGGAAGGTGGGGACTTTTGTTTCCTGCTAACTCTGCAGAGCCATCTGCCATTTTACCTTCTTCCTGGCCTCAAAGGTAGAGGGGCTGGGTCCTGAGTCGGGGTGGAGGGGTCCCTGCTCCCTCCGCTCTCTTTTCTATGCATACATGTGCACTCTCCAGTTAAAGGCTAAAGGGTGAGGCTGGTATTTATTCTGCACAAAGAAGTCGTTAAAGACTTGGTATATCTGATTCTTTGATCCTCACAAACACACTTCTGATGCCAACCCTAAAGTGGCACCCCTCTTCCCTCTGTTAAACAAGGCAGCAGCCAGTAACAGCAACTCAGCGAAGGAAGGGGATGGGAGAGTTCATCAGGAGTTCAAGTCATCTGGAAACTTTTTAAAGGAGTTCTTGTCCAATCCAAACTTAATAATTTCCTCTATGCCTTTAAAACACCTGGTTTATATCTACAATAGTAATTATTAATATGACATGTGGTTTAATTAGGTGTGTAAGTATGTTCTCCCCCATCTGATTACAATTTTTGAGGTTAGGGCTATCATATATTTATCTCAGAATATCTGTCCTTAACTAGTGCTTTACATAAAGCAGGTTTAATAAATGTTGAATTAAAGTGAATTAATTATACCTCATTGAATTATACCATTTTATTGCTGGAAGAATTAGCAGAAAAGGAGATAAATGTGTCTAATTAGATAAAGTAAACATTAACTAATTCATTAAAATTAACTGATTTGTCCATAGTCTTGCAACAAACTAGTGAAAGAACCAGGTTCTAAAAAATAATTTCCATAATCTTAAGCTACATGGTTTCTCATATATTTCCCATTTCCTCATCACTTATGGTCTACCCTTTTGATTCTTTTAATATGAATTTTTATGTATACCTTCTTTGTCCTCACTAACATATAGACATATACATACAAACATACACATATTACGTTTACATATACACATATACACATATGTATATATAAATATACATACATACATATACACATATGTGTGTGTGTATATATATGGTGGGGGAAAAAGTAGATTTACAATTGTTCAAGTGGAAAATAATATAATAATTAATAAATAATAATACAAGAATAAACTATTTCACATACTCACAACTGGAAACCTACTTCTGTCCACCCCTGGTTTTGCAGTGATCCAAGACATTTTAATAATGTGAAAACTTACAAAAACTATCAAATATGCAACCTATTTCCAATGTGTTCCTTATCAGTGAATGTTCTCTATAAGAAAGTTATAATTATAATTTTAATTTTTCTAACTGTGTACATGGGAGTAAAAAAATAAAAAGTTTAAAATTTTTTCAAAGAAATTTCACTTAATTTTCTAATTTAAAAGATCAACCTATTGAACTCTAAACAGTTGCAATAATGGCTTTATGCATTAATTCTAATAGAAGAGCTTCAGAAATAAAATCTGTATATAACAATGTAGTCAAGGGAATACTTACACTCTCACTCTGAAAAGGGTTTAAGAAATTTCCCCCCATTTCGCTATCATCCCTTGGAGTGCCCGGTTGATTACTCAGGCTCATATTATTGGGAGAATTCTGTAAACAAGATTTAGAAAACAAGGCATTGTTGAAGATTTTAATTTCCCTCTTGCATTGTACTGTTTCAAAAATGGAATCTATAGCAGCATCTCTAAGGACAAAGCCGACTTGTGATTCTAATCTTAGATCATGTAGTCTAGTTCATTTTTTGAACCTTGACAAGTACTAATGCTTTTCCAAATGAAAATTAAAACACACAGAGGAAACCCAGAATAACCCACCACAAATTTTTTTCTTAGTCTCAAAATCAATATTTATTCAATTTCCCACCCTCAGCGGATAGAGTTCCTAGAACTCTGGAGAGTTTAAAAACATTCCCAGCAGGTGCATAATAAAGAGAGCCTACCCACTGGTCAGGCAGGAAGGAGCAGCAACTTCCCTCAGTAATTTTACTAACCAAACTTCAAAAGGTCACCGTTTTCATAAGCATTCCCCTTTAACTCCACATGCGGTTTGCACAATCACACTACTTTACCCATTATTTTTACGTAAACCATAAGGAAAAAGGAAGATAGTTAACAACTATAGTTAAGAACAAGAGAAATACCTTAGGACCTGAGAATTCAGTATGTACTCTTAGAGAAAAAGAAGGCTACAAGGTAAAACTGCTTTAGTACCTTTTTCTATCATTAAAGAGTAGATATACTTTGAAACTTTCCTTTAAGAGAAAATGGCTGATATTAGCAATCTAATCAAACACTAAGTTAGCAAATCACTTCATGTTCTGTTTAAATTTGCTAGTTTCTCCAATAGCATACACTATTAGCATCTACAGCTATAGGAAGTACAAACAAATGGTACTGGCATATGAACCATGTTCACACAGCACTGCAACTGTAACTGAGGGACTCTTTCGAGGTCCAATTTATTGATTTGTAACAATAAACTTCAAGGTTAAAAATTTTTATTTGTTATTTCAAGTGAGAGAAAGATTTTAGGCGTTTTTTTTCCCCCCTAAGCCATTGCATTGCATGGTCTGTTTTTTAATACATTTTTAGCTGTTTAAAATAAAATTACTCTGAGGCTCTGACTTAACTAAAACCAAATTATGTCATAAAAATTAAAATTTCATGAATGAGAATATGTGCTTTCTAAAAGTATGGTTAAACTGTAAAGCAGACACAGGTAAATGAACCAGTGGAAAGAGAGCTTGTGTGTGGCCCTGTGGGGCACCCACAGGGAGGATCTGACAACAAGGATGCTCTGAAGTCCTTGGGAGCCCCATTTGCCAAAGAACCACACCAGCTGGGGAACCACAGTTTAATAGCATAAAGAGAACTCTTTTTTTCGGATAAATTTTTCTCTACAAATGTTAGTTTCCCATGTATATAGAAAAGCAAATGTACTTTGAAATGAACATGGATAACCTGATTTCCTGAAAAAAACATCTAGGTGAAATTTAATGAAATACAACTAACTAAGCTATAGCTTATTCATTATTAAAGTTACTAACTAATCAATCTGTTCTGAAAATAGGAATGATAATGCTAACTTAGTTCAAAAATAAAAGTAAATTTATACAAATATTCCAAGATTTACCCCAAATCTATGCTTTTTTTGGTGAAGGCAGATTTCTTTCATTCCAAACATATGAAGAAATTGCTCACCTTAGAACAAAAAATAACCTAGTACCTATATATGGGTATGTGAGGGTGTACTTGGAGACCGAATACTTGTGCACATTCAAACAGATCTCTGAAATGAGCTCTCTCCATTCTAGCGTAACACTCGCCCTCTCAGCGGTTCCTGAGGTGCCCTGGATGGAGCCGCATAGCTCTCAGTAAGTTGGGGGGTTCTCAGACTCTGCTGCACTTTTGCCATATCTCATTTTCTGATTTACAATTTTGAAAGTTTAGCTAAGTTCAAATCTGGTTCCTGACTCACAGTGTTGATTTAAAAATATTTAAAATTTTAAAGTAACATTGTGTTACTGTTTAAATATCTAGAAAGAAGTATTGCTAAGAATATTTAGAAGAAATAGTTATAAAACATTTCCGGTGTTGTTATTTTTATTTTTCATGCATTATTTTCATATCATGGTGACTTAGCATTATAATTTTTTTTTTGTGGGATTATCTAAGAACACTGAGAGGAAGAGTAAAAGGACATATTCAACATACAAAACTGAACTAACATCAGATCTCCGAAACCTACTCTTATCTAGCTCACTGAGCATATTTAAAAATCCTGAAATGATAAAACAATTTTTTAAAAAATCTGACGTAATCTCCATAAAATGTGAAAACAACAAAAGTTCTCAATGGGGAACCTTAGGGAGATTGTGCTGTCCACAATTACTGACTGACAAAGAGATAAAGTTACACTCAATATTGGCATCTGAGGCAGAGCTGAGACAGTGGTTACAAAGTCCAGGCAGGAGCAGGTTGTGAGGGTAGGGGCAGTGAACTGGGTGTATATTTCATTTAACTGTAGGTATGTTTGTGTGCAGTGTCCAGGAGATTTCATCATAAAGGCAAGAATATAATGCACAAAAAGGGCTTAGGTTGGTCAGAAAAGTATTCCGATTACTTGAGCACGTAATTCGAGAGTACAAAGCACAAGAGAATACAAGTAAAAATTACTTTTAGTGACATTAAGCATTTTGGTAGCATTTTTTACTTCAGTTAATATGTACTTTATTCCCTACTTTAAGACTTTAGCTTGAAAAAGTATAGTTAATATTATATTGATCTATTTTCAAGGGATTTTATTATATTCTAATTTACCCTTTCCTGAAACTGGAATATTTCCCTTGCTTAAGCTATGACATCATATACGAATGTTATTTTTAAGTATATACATGTGCTTGTGCGTGGGTACACATACACACAATTTCTTCTGGATGGCCTATTTAATTCATTTAGCTCTCTGTTTTCTGATTTTATCTTTCAAGCATTCTTCCATATCATCTGTCAATTACTAAGTTATTGTTCCTTCTTCTACCTATCTCCAGAAATTATTCCAAAACTTTCAAACATCTATTAACAAAGGGAACACTTGTAAAATTTTTGGCTCTATCTGTAATGAAAAGAAAATATTACTGACATTATTCTAAACTCTTTGGAAGTGACTTTTGCATTGATTTCTTATAGGTTGCCAATTACAAGGTTTATAGAGTGTCGTTGTGACTCTGCCATTTACCCAAAAGAATAAACTGCCAGTCCTGGTTCTCCCAGTGGGAAATGTAAGCTAGCGCTCAGGCCCGCAGCTGAGAGGATGGCAGGAATCTGTAGCTGTCAGTTAGCTTTCCTGTGAATGGTGTGGAATATTTAACTGGAACTGAGGATTGTGAGGTTAGACAGCTTCGGGCTGAAAAGACTCCTTTGATAATTTATTAAGCATGACATGATCAGATCTTGCCTGCTCTTACATGCTTTTTTTCAAAACTCAAAAATATAAATGTTAAGTATCTTCATTTGAACTGCAGAATTTATTTAGGTGAGTTTCTTCTAAGAAAGAAAACCATATGCTCCTCTATACCCCTAAAGCAACTCCAAGTCATAATGTTTTAGTTACACTGATTAAATGAATGATTTTTCGGTCGCAAAAGGATGTCAAAAATTTCACATTTCATTTAAAAAAAGGCTTCTAAATTAAAGGTGAATTCTGCATTTTGAGAAAGATGCACATGAATTTTACTAGGTAATCCTCAAGTGAGAAAGCAGTAATTTTAAAACTCTTTATTTGGAACCTGGGCTAGTGTGGCTTAGTGGGTTGAGCACCAACCTGTGAACCCAGAGGTTGAAGGTTCAATTCCCAGTCAGGGCACATGCCTGAGTTGGGGGCCAGGTCCTTGGTTGAGGGCTTGTGAGAAGCAACCAATCTATGTTTCTCTCATACATCAGTGTTTCTCTCCCTCTCTCTCTCACTCCTTTCCTCTCTCTCTAAAAAATAAGTAAAATCTTAAAACAGAAGAACAAAAATTAAAACTCTTTGTTTGGAGTGTTCGTTCATTTTGCCAGTAGAGCAGTGCTATCCAAGTGGAGGTGACTGCGTGAGTCCATAGCCTTGCCCACAAAAGGGAGTATATGGGGGGAAGATAGTTAGCATATGCGCTGTGCTTCATAGCCCTTAGCATATAGTCACATGTGATTCTCAACAATTTTATGAACTAGGTAAGGAATGAACTACAAGCTCTATTTTAGAGCTAAGAAAGCAAAGTTGAAGAGAAATCAAGTAACATGTTGCCAAAATTTGTAAGTAGTAGAACGAGGCTTTCTGATTCTCAGTTCTGTACTCTTCACCATACATATAAGATGCATTAAATAGAGCCTATTTACAATAAAAATGTAGAAAAAGAATTGAAATGGTACTAATAAGCAACATTTAAAAATGGAGTAAGAAATTTAAAAAAAATACGTAATACTGGTGCTTGACAAAATATAGGTTTAATTGGGAAACTAGGGAGTTGTAGCTGGAGACCTAACAGGGATTTTGAAGCAAACTTCTAAGCAGTAGTGGTCAAGATTATTTTTTGATTGATAAACAAGGATGACTAGAAAAAGAATAGGATGGAAGGGAACAAACCCAGGAAACAAGAGAAAAGGGATGAAAGAGTGTTGTGAGATAGCTGGACATGTACTGGAAAAGGAAGAAGGTGGAGAACTGGAGTTAGTGACAATGTGTATAGCTTGGAGTAAAATACAAATTATTTGACTGTGAGTAGAAAGAGGTAGGGAGGAAAATAATCAGGGTGGGGGTAGTTGTGGGGGGATAATACACACGATGCTGCTGACTAGAGGAAAAGTGATTGTGGAGCATGGGCGATGTGACAGGCACTGAAGGCATCATCACACAGGCAGCCTGGAAAGGGGGCAGTGCAGAAATGAGCTGCTTCGTAGCTCTTTTAACGGTGGATGCAGCTAAGCATTCCTAGCATATTGCTAAGTGGCATGTATATTACTTGGAGATAATTATTATGAAATGTATTTGAATTCAGCTTTGAAAAAGTTTTTCTTTACTGTATTTATTTGTTCTCCTTAGTTATACTGAGCTTCTTGAAGGCAGAGACCTTATCTTGTTTATCTTTTGATTTTGAGAGCCCAGAATAATGCCTGGTGCATTAGTTTACTGAATGAGGAAACTGCTGCTAGTATAAACCATTTGAGGGCAAAAATTATGTTTGTATTTAAAGAAGTCTTTCATATCTCTCTATAGTGCACAAGGCAGTACCCAGTACACAAAAGTACACAATGGGTGATCAGTTAATGCTTAAAGAATAAGCAATATCTCATTAGGCAAGAGAATGTTATTAGCAGTAGGTACAGTGTAGTGGAAAAACTTGTCTCTGGGAATAGGAATGGGAAAATAAGCACAGAAGGAACAGAGATAGACCTGATATGAAGGAAGATTAGAAGACGGTATTTAATTTGTCCTTATGGCATTATTTAAAAATTTTAAAGTACTTTATAAATTACCAAGTACTCTCTCATATATAATCCTGTTTAAATCTACCTATTATATAAGGCTATGAGTTGTCAGTGGAAATTTTAGGAAGATGATCTTAAGCAATCTGGATGATGCCACTTTTCTGTGATGAAGAACCATCTTTAGATACTAGACTATGCTACTCCAATATAACAGAAATCTCACTAGTGATCATGAAGCACAATTCAGCTAGTATCAGTTGTTAGATACTGGAAAGTAGCTGATGTAATCATAGTCATTTGACTTGCAAAAGAGCTTCTCAGAGAAAGGCTGTAATGGAAGTATACAGTGAATCTGATTTTGAAAACAGGCTTTTTGAAGGCTTACCTAATACTATTTCTCATAGAAGTAAGCTAGTACTCATTATAAATATTTATCTATTTTTAAAAAAGAAAAAGACCTACCTGACTGTTCCTAGACACAGACATCCAAAGTGTGTGTAGGACCCATAAGCCAGGCAATGTAGGTTTAATGTAAGAGTGACAGTTAAACTCTCACACTTTTTCTTTTAGCTTGAAGTCTTAGTTTAGAAGATTTTTATAGCTCAATCTTATTTTATTTTTCTTAGCATTAGGAATTTTACATTATCACATAAGAACATAAATTAGAAGAATTAAAAATGAAGTCATCCTTTAATGAATTTCTCTATTGATATGAAGTAGACTTCTAAGAGAGTTATTCTAGTGGTAGTTAATAATTAGTTCTTATCAGCCATTCTAAATATATTTTTGACCCACAGAGAACTATTTTAAACTCATCATGACCTAAAAAGTATTTAGGTACTCTTCTTCAAAAAAATATAAGGCATCTTAGCAAAATATTAATTTTAGATACTCAAACTCTTGAAGAAAAATGCAGACACATGCGATTGAAAGGCTCACTTTCCTACTTGTATTAATACAATTCTCCTCTAATTATTTTCTTACTCTATTTGGGGGAACTGGAATAGTGACTGAGGACGTTTGCATTGCCTCATGAAGGCTTTACAGACAAATGAGATGTATACATGCAATACCCTTATAATAACCACTTTTTCAAATTTATTTATGTTTCTCTAGACATCTTTACATTTTAGAAATTATCAAAACTATGTCATTTTGCTTTACAAATATGTAACATCATAACATGATTAAATTGGTTATTACTTGGGTATTCATTAATCAGGAATAGCACATCTTATAAATGAACCTTAGCCTGTTTAGAGACATTTGTAAAAGATTCATTTTTACCCTTTCCCACAGATTATATACATTAATATTTTAAACTTGTAGTTAATTATATCTGGCCTTCCACTTTCAAACTCTTCTTCAAGAACAAAATTCATACAGTTGCTCTAATAATCTTAATGAGAGTTCTATATAGAATAAAAAACAGACAAAAAAAAAAACCCAGAGAATTCACACTGCTCACCTTGGAAATACTGTCCATATCTCCTGAGCCTGAAAAAAAAATACAGAAAGAAAGTCTTTATTAGGTACTGATTTCATTTATAAATTAAGCACTTCTTTAACATAAATAAATGCAGCATACTTGGTATATTTTCCAGTGTACATCTCCTGAAATTTTAATTTTAAAAAACTGTTTTTTTACACTGCCATCAAATAAGTACCATTTGATGACAAATGCAGGGAAGAGTTGTACCTCCCTAGTTTCCAATTATTTCATTTTTTAATGACAGAATGAAGAAAACTATTATTATCATAAATTCCTGAAAGTAAAATAATGGAGAGATATATATATGCTACTCAATTCAAATTTTTTAAATGTAGGTATATGTGTGTGTGTGTGTTTAACTAGAGAGCAAGAGGGAGATATCTAAATATATTTTTCAATATAATGCTTCTAAATCTTATAAAATATAAAATGGACATTTGCAACAAAAAATTGGGAACCACATCTTAGTATAATATCCGAAAGCAAAATATTTTAGTAATATCACATATTTGACAGCAATCAATACTCATGGCAATATATCAAAAGTAAAAATGTCTTCAAAATATAATACTGTTTTATTTTGATGCTTGGATGAAATGAACAACCAGTACTAATTTCTCATTTAAGAGATGGAATCATGCCCTGGCTGTTGTGGCTCAGTGGACTGAGCACCAGCCTGTGAACCAAAAGGTTGCCAGTTTAATTCCCAGTCAGGGCAGATGCCTAGGTTGTCAGCTGAGAGGCAACCCATCAATGTTTCTCTCACATATTGATGTTTCTCTGCTTCCCTTTCTTTCTCCCTTTCACTCTCTCTAAAAAATAAATTAAAAAAATGGAATAATACTTTATATCTTTTGGTATAAAGAAACAATAATCAGATCTTTGCCCTATATTAACTTTGTTTTAAATTATTTTAATAATTAACTTTCCTCACATAAAAATATTATAATGTTTTAATTGTACAACAGTCAGTCAACAGTCACAAATAAAGTTTGGGCTTATTAACATGATTAATTTGTAAATAAGCAGACATAATAAGTTTTTAATGCTAAATATATGTGTCTATGCATACATATAAATATGTACAATAATGTTCATTATAGAAAGTAATAAGCCACATTTCAAACATATGAAGCTCTTCCACAAATTCTAATTTAGTGAATTATATAACTGAGAATTCTCTAACTTGACCGAAGGTCATCTTTTTGTGAATGAATTTATAATTAAAAGACTGGAAAGTGAATTATTTTGCAAGAAATTGGAAAACACAGTTCTAGAGCGGTGCTGTGCAGGAGGACTTTGTGTGATGATGGAGATGCCTTTCTGCGCTGTGCATTGCGGCGACCACTGGCGAGATGAGGCTCTGAGCCCTCACATGTGCCAGTGCAACTGAGGAACTGAACTCCACATTTTACTTATTTTTAACTTAAAATTAAATAGTCACACTTGGCTACTGGTTACCAAAATTGGACAGTGCAAAATAAGAATTTGAAATAAGGCAAAGTAGGTATGGATCCTTAAAAGCAGAAAAATCTACCAATGTGTTGCAAATAGTTTCTTGATTGTTGAGGTTACATAGCTTTTCAAAGTATCAGAGGGTGGCATTTTCTGACCTACGGTGGGGTTGTAAAATCTGTGTATAATCTAAGTTACTTATGGGCATAGTTTCTCCATCTAGGTAAAAGATGGTCCTTTTCAAAAGAAAAAAAACATTATCACAAACCTCCACCGCCATCATCAACTCTTACATTATTTATAATAATGCTTAAACATAAAACAAATATTTTTTTCAGTTGTGCATTCAGCCTGCCAATACATATAGTAGGCTCTGTGACCTAGTCAGTTTTGTACTATTTGTCTCTGTTTCTCACTATTGTGAAACCTTGTGTTCACTTTGCAGGTATTTGGCTTCATCCGGCAAGAAAGCATCATTTATAAAGTATGTTTTCAACCATTAGTCACACTACTTGAAATCAGCTGTATCACTGAACACAAAAAAAATGTGGGCAGTGTTCTCTCTTAAGAGAATCAATCAGATTATCTAAAATATCACACTAATTTTATTTTAAACATTAAAATACTGAAAAAAGTTAAGAAATTCTTGCATAGAACTAAAGGTTCTCTGAGATTGTATCTACAGACCTTTATTCTTTTGCATTTTTTAATTGTTGTTCAATTACAGTTGTCTCCATTTTCCCCCCATTGCTTTCCCTTGCCCTGCCCTCCCCCGAGTTGTCTTTGTCCATGGGTCCTTTATACATGTTCCTTGACTTGACCCTTCTCCTTCTTTCCCCTGTTATACCCCTGCCTCCTCCCCTCTGATCTCTGCCAGTTTGTTCTTTACTTCCATGCCTCTGGTTCTATTTCGCTAGCTGGTTTGTTTTGTTGATTAGGCTCCACTTATAGGTGAGATCATATGGTATTTGTCTGGCACTGCCTGGCTTTTTTCACTTAGCATAATAGTCTTCAGCCCCTTAGCAACAAAGAAACCAATTGAGAGGATATTGTAGTTCTGCAGGGAAGCTGTGTCTGTCCAAAACAGCAATGCCTTTTTATCATAAAACACCCAGATTTTGATAGGTTAAAGTATGTATCTGTGAATATGAGCTAGGTTAGAACTAAGTCCACATTTCTGGTTTTCAAATGACCTACAGTCATCATAAATAATACACTACAGATTAAATTAACAGGGTGAGGTAAAAGGTGAAGCATTTCAAAATAAGTCACTGCATACAAAAGGACTTTGCAAATCATATTATCTACTATGTAGAATTAATGTTTTGTTTTAAATTGATTTCTACACATCAAATTTAATATCCTTACCTAAAGAGCCATTCATGTGATGTGATTCCATTCCTCCTAATCCACCCATGGGTCCATCTGAACCAGGGCCCATTGGAAACTATTTTAAAAATGAAAAAAAGAATGATAATATTAAAAACAATTGTTTATATCAATGCTACTACATCTGCTTTTAACATTTTAAGGCAATTCCACAGCTTATTTTCATTTTCAAATTATTGAGATTATTTTCCTAGATATTTTTCAGCCTTGTAGATTCTCTAAGTGGACTGCCCTACCTCTCTCATTCCACTCTCTGTTTGGATCTTCAGACTAATCCTCATTCATAACCAAATTTTTCTTCTTCGGATATCCTCAATTAGAAAGCAAATACATTCTAGTGCAAATGATAATCATTCTCTTTGCTATTGTGCTATTATAAACAAGAGGTGATTTTTTCAAAGCTACTAAGATGGTTAATTTCTTATTAATAGGAATGATTCAACATTAACTTTTTTAGCAGACAACCTATTTTTTGTTCAAATGGGCATAAATAATTTAATCTCGGGTTAAATACAGGGTAGGGTGAAAGTAGGTTTATATTTGTGAGTGGGTAAAACACAGTTTATCCTTGCATTTACTATTTATTAATTATTGTAGTATTTTCCATAGGAACAACTTTAAACCTACTTTTGACCCACCCTGTACATTTGGCTCCTTGGGGATAGCTGAATATAGCTAATTCTTTTTGCCAGTCTCAACTATCTCAGTACAATGATAATCATTCTATAGTGGTTATAACTAACATTTTAAAAAGCACTGGTATTATTTTATTTGATTTTCAAGTGAAATCTTACTTTAGAAACCTGGTGAAAACCATGTGAGCAGACACACTGTGGCAGATCTGGTGGTGGTGAGCTCAAGGCCCACCCACTCAGCCCTCCCCTCATCTCCCTGAAATATTTTTGAGGAAACCAGGCCTGAGTTTGAAGATGTTATCTATAATTATCTTATGTTTACAGTTAAGACAACCTACTGAAAATACTTGTTCTTAAAATTTCCCATCTGAAGGCATTTCTTCCATGTTGTATGACACAGAATACTGACTGTGGTGTGTGCATGTGTATATGCATTTATGTGCATAGATGTGATGGTGATAGTTACTAATCATAGAGCATTTTGGGGGAAAATCAATTCCCCTCAGCAAACAACATGTATATCATCAACTCTGTGTGGAAATAAGATGGCTATCTGTCATCTATGATCATACAAATCACATGCTTATACATTTTCTCAAGATAATGTCAATTATTTCTGTTTCCTAAAGTTCTGTTGTCAAAAAGCACATGGAGTGATTTTCAGTAAACAATCTGGAATATGTATACCTTCTATGATAGGTAAAAGAAATTAACTTTGAACTTATCATTGTTACTCGGTTTTTGTGAAAAGCATGGATCTGGGCTGAGAAACTGGTGCTGGTGAGGCCAACAGCCTGTGAACTTACTCTGGTCTTTTTATCTGGCCCCCACAGTGTTTTAGAAGGCATTAAGACGATAGGAATGTAAGCTGGGCCTAGCCCTCCTTAGGTATTTGCTTTTACTACCTTTGGCTGAGATGAATAACATTTGAAAAAGTGATATGTTCACCTACTTTTTTTGGATCTCTTATGTTTGTATGGAGTTAGAGAACCAGAGTAGAACACACTTGGATGATGTCAGCTGACCCCAGAAATGTCTTCTTATCATATGCTCTTGGTTTTCTCCTTTGCTCTCTACTTTTTAATTATGAAGTTTTCTGATACTAAAGTGCAGTATAAAGGGCTTTTCTATTTTGTTTTTTTTGCTGTATTTCTAAAATGAATGTTGTCCTTTATCATAGTCAATATTCCTTAAAATCTTTGTGAAAACACCTTTTAGACATAATTGATAGGAAATTATTTCCTAAAAAACAACTCATTTGATTATATAAAAAGAACAGTGATAACTGATGTACTGCTTAACAGAAATACAATTAAATCTTAGTTCTATAACACTTCGGTCCTTGACCAAGTTGTCTATTGGAAAAAAGGTCTTGGTTGTCTAACGAAGCTTGAGTCTCGATTCTCTACCCAATAACCCTTTCGTGCTGACACCTGTGTGCTAAGTCAAGCATCTTCAGGTGACAAAGGAAGTTTAGTTTTTGAACAAATTGCTTCTCAAACAGTTTTCTGGAACGAATTAAGTTCAAGAACTGAGCTTCCACCGTAATACACAAGTTGCAAATGTGAACTTACATCAGTAAATTTAGATTTACTAGCAGCCATGTTTAAAAAGTAAAAAGAAACAGGTGAAGTTAATTTCAATAATATATTTTATTTACCCTATATATCAAAATTATCATTTCAATATGTAGTCAATATGAGCATTTTAATGAGATATTTTACATCATTTTTTCATACTACTTACTCAAAATCCAGTGTGTATTTTATACTTAACAGCACATCTCAATTTGGACTAGCTGTATTTCAAGTACCACACCATACTGGACAGATTTAAAGTTTCCTTTTGTTGTCTTTACTGCTAAGAAGCTTGATTTTAACAATTATTTCATGCTCAGTCTTCAATATATTTCTAAAAATTCTTTTATGTCTTCTGATTTTTAATTTTGAACATATATATGTATACATAGCTATGTAGTAACTACACTCTGTTATCAATATTTTCTGTTAACACCTAGGTTTTGTATAATAGATAAATAAAATATCATTTTCCTGTAAGCTGTAAGCTTTAGTGAAAAATTACAACCACCTGCTTTATTAAAACACCCAACTTCTTTCAGCAGGACTACCTCAATTCTGTATTTAAACTCCAGATTCCAAAATCTAAAGAAAAAACAAGCATACCCAACTTCTTCATTTATTGTCGTTTGTCAGGATAAAAAAATAAATAGGATCACAATGAAGAAATCAGTGACAGTAAAATGAGGTAATGAACAGTTATACATTACCTGTCATTTTTAAGTAGTATTAATTACTAAGTATTTGAGATAAAATAAGACTATGCAGCAACATTTTATAATTAATTAGGTTAACAACTACATTTAAATTATATTGATATGAAATCTTTTGTTATTCTGTTACATGTTTTTTCAACCCAGAACACACGATTCAATTTTTGTAATGTCTAATAAGCACTTAGATATGAAATATAAAGCTTATAGAGTATCCAAGAAATAGAATGCACTAAGAGTTTGTCTTCAAATACATTACAAAAATTTTTAAAATTTGTATTTACATTAGGCCTGTTAGGTCCAGGAGGTACTGCATTCATTAAAGTATACATGTTGTCTCCCGAGTTGGTTGAATCTGAAACAAAATATTACTTAATTAATATCATTCTTTATAATCTATACCCAAGTCATCACAAAGTAATAATTGGAGATGATCTGAACACATATACATATTAATAGCTGCAGTGCTTGAATTAGTCATTGCTAACTTCAGAAATAAATCAATACCTGTAAGTCACTTTCTGACTCAGAATCATTATTCTGACATTGTAAATTAGGACTATTTACCTAATATGTTAGGCGTAATCACTTGAATAATTCAGGTACAAAGAAATTACCTTAAAAAATCTAAAAAGATAAAGTTTTTAAAAAAGTCATGGATATTTTTTTACTTCCCTAAGCAATTTATATGTATAACAAAAATCTCCTTAATTCAGATTCAGTAGATTTTCAGTTTTCATTGTTACCTTAGGCTTCTTAAAACCAATTTAAAATATTATTTATTTAGCTAATAGTTAGTAAAAGCTGGTGAAATATCTTAGCTTAATTCTAACAGAGAGTAGATGAAAAATATAAAACTGGATTGAAAATTCTCTTAATTGAAGTGAAAGCCAGCTTCCTCCAGTAGAATTTTTTTCTCATTTTATTCTTGATTCATTATAATAAAAATAACTATAGTGTATATTAATATATATAACATTTTAGAGTATTTTTAAAAATTTACATTTTATGTCTATTAGCTAACGGTAAGTTTATAAATATATGTGTTTTTATAATGTATAACCTAGGATAAGAAGATAAATATTTTACATTTGGGATATATTAATTATGAAATAAGTTTTTCTCTTTTTCTATAATTACACAGTTTTCTTAAATACAATAGAGTAGGTTTTTCTATTTTGAAAAAAGTATGTTTCAAATTTTTTATTTGGATTCAAGGTGGAAGATCAAAGTCAATTGCTTCCTCATGGCAAAACCATAAAGTTGGAAATAAGCAATGATTTTTCCTCTTATTTTGTGATTAGTTATTAGACATTAATAAGTTTATTATTTCAGTGCATACACCTTAGGCTCTAGGTTAGATGTCATGCATCAGTTGTCTGTGGACAGTAATCCATAAATCTAAATATTATTTTTTTACTTCTAGATTAATACTTCATACAAGCGATTTTCAACCTTTTTCATTTCATGGCAGACATAAACTAATTACTAAAATTCTGTAGCACAGCAAAAAAATTCTTTTGCTGATCTGACAAAAAAATAGGTATAATATTGATTCATTCACACTGATTCATTGGCTGTTTTCATTTTTTTTTTATTTGACAATCTGAAGGAAAAGAGGGCAGTGCCCCTAACTAAGTAGTCAGGTACTGCATGTTTTAAAAATTCTTGTGGCACACCAGTTGAAAATCGCTGCATCATACTGTTGAAAAAGTTGCAATGCCCACCTACGTTTGTGGCCTTAACTACTTTTACATCCTTATATATGCCATACTCCTGTCAACTCAGGGTACTTGTTCTCTCCTGTATAGGATCAGTGTTTTCCATCTCCACGTGTTTGTTCCTTCTTCCTTCAGGCATCTTCTACCCACTCTCCACCTTCCAAAGTCTACTCACTATTCAAGGCACACTGGAAATACTGTGAAGTTTTTTTTTCTGATACTTCCAAGTGCATGAGTCTTCCCACCAATCAATTCTGCTTTGCATTATAGTTAATATTTTGTTTTATTCTTCTCTTGCTTCAAACTAAGTTACAGTAAGCACATTGAGAGAAGAAAGGGGAACATATATAACTCACTTTGTGTATGTCAGATAGTAAAAATCTGCTAATTTAATGGAATAAATGCTATACCATAAAAGCTTATCTTTCAGAAAATCTTGGACTGGTTTTTAAACATAGGAAAACTTCAAATGGTTTTTCACTTTTATTAATCTTAGTAATTTTACTTACTAATTCCAGTAATTAATTTGAAAAGAAAATGGGCTGTATATTTTAAATATGCAGAAAGAAAAGGAAATTTATTGTTTTTAGGTCAATCAATAATATAATTTCATATCTAAAAAAGTATGGAGGGGAATAAAGTTGGTATTATGTAGAAAATATCTGACTTCTTTTTGTAGATGGAAAAACTTTATATAATAAAGTAGATCTCCTGGCACCTATCATTTTTTGGGGGGGGAGGCTGGCTTCATATTAGAAGAATGACAATGATATAGAACAAATACATAAAGAATATGCAAAAAAGACAGAAAGATATACTGGTGGCAATTTCTGGCTTGAAAGGAAGTGATTGAATTATATATTGCTTACAAAGTTTTGTCTCTCAAAAAAATTTCTTTTAGTATTATAATGAAGTGTTTATTAATCACAAGCCTCCTTCATAAATGTACTTCAGCAAATAGAAATGCAAATGTGGGCAAGATGTTCAATTCACGTAATTATATCTTCAATGAATTCTGTTTCACTTCAATAAAGATGCTCTAAGGACAGAGATCTATGAAATATTTATGACATATTTCAAAGAGTTAGGGAAGCAAAGTAAAATTTGCATTAATTCTTAAATTTATGCCTTTTCTAAATTAGAAAGATTCAAAACTTAAAAATCATGATTTATTGGTATAATTAATGATATTTAATTTCAAGCTTCCATATATCTTAGACTTAAACAAACCAGTTAAAAACATATGAATTTACAACAAAACAAACAAGCAAGGAAAATATAACCAGTGACATTGAAAGAAAAAAGAAACCAACAGAAACAAGAGGGAAGGAGGGAGGAGGGGGGCAGGGAAAGGAAGGGGAAGGGTCAAGTCAAGGAACATGTATAAAGGACCCGTGGACAAAGCCAAAGTGGGGAAGGATTGAGGGAGGGAGGGGGGCAGGGAGGCAGGGGGAGGTGGTGGCAGGAAAATGGAGACAAATGTATTTGAACAATAAAATAAATTAAAAAAAAGAAAATAATAAAAACATATGTATTTAACAGTGTAACATTATTAAATTTGTTCTAATTATAAATGTTTCCCATCTTTTTCATTAGCTAGAAGTTATTATTGATAAGTCTTAGCCTATTTTTTGTTTTATTCAATATTTTAAATATTGAATAAAATGGTTATCATATTGTATTGAATTGTGAATGTTTATTCTCCATGTAAATGTTCTTTGATAATAATTTAAAGGTTTACACTATATTGCATAAAAACTAATTTATTTGTTTCACTAAAATTAGATTTGGTATGAGGGTTGTGTCTACTGTTTCACTATTGACTATAACACATGAGCATTTCTCTATATAACTCTTAGGTTGTATCTCTAATCATTTCTAGTAGCAGGATTATAGAGTCAAGTGGTACAAACTTCTTCATGGCTCTTGATACACGTTGTCAGAGCACTTCGTAGGAGAGCTACGCCAATGTAAACTGCCCCCGTTAGTAAAGTCCTCAAGACACGACACACTTAAATAGTCTGTATTAAAGCCTCAACAAGACAGGATAAAGCTATTTAAAATAGTTATAGTAAATGATTACAGGAATACTGAGGTATTTTAGTTTAGAAGACTGAAAAAAAAAAGTTTCCATGCTAGATAGTGGATCTATTAGCTAACTAATAAATACCTATAGATGTGTAGGGTAAATAATATTGTAGGCACATCTACATCAATTTCATTAAGATAATAGATTGCTGGGTTTGATTTGCTATATTAAACCTAATAGATACATGCATTTCATGTGTTACTTATGCATAAGGTTTCTAAATTGTGAGATCTGGATCTTTTCCACAATCTCAAGAAGTCTTTTAGTCATATAAATTATTGGGAAATTCATACAGATCAACACAGTTTGCACCCCGACTATATGTTACCTACACAACAGTAATTTTCTAAATGCTTTCAGTAGCTGGACAATAGTTGTTTAAGAACACTATTTCTTCCTACTGGCTACCTCTACTCTACTGCATTCAGCAATGAGACAATGAATACTACCAATTTTCACAACAATTTCTGTATTTTGTGATTTTTTTTCTAATAATGAAATGTCAGTGTGGCTCGTTTGATTACGATACCTGCTGGACTAGGCATGATGGGTGTTCCTGGTGGCCCTCCACCTCCCGGAGGACCCTAAACAATGACACAAAATATCAGTATAAATAAGGCATTTCATTAAATAATATAAGGGGAAAAAAGTTAGACTCATCTTTATAATAACCAAATTTGAAAACAACAGAGGAAATGTATTTTCTCTAAATGCACAATCATTTCAATCTTATGTTGAATATAGTTTTGCTTAAATATTGTTGAGATGGTTTTGACAAGTTCCCCAAAACAATAAGGCTGTAACACTGATTTGTTATTCATGATTTAATCATACCAATTATAATGAGGTTAAGAAGAAACCATTTAATAAGGTCTCTACAAATCCATAAAAGAGAAATAATTTATGTGTATTTGAGATTTACCTTATTGTAATTTTCTTATATTTTGTATCAATGCCTTCTATAGAAAACTAGAAACCGAAAGATATTTAAATGTTTACAAAATACATTGGTTCAATTTCTTTCCCCTTTCAGTACCAGTTGCAAACCTTCTGGAGCACTGTACCTTCATCTGTCATATCAATCAGAAATGAGAAGCAATGTTGACTAATGCTGTGGATTACTAAGGCCTGAAGCTACACAACCAGCCTGAAATGGAGATTAGGTACTTCTAAAATTATTCAGTAATTTCAGAGCCAAAATGAATAATTCAGGTAATGTGTTTTAGAACTTTTCAGATGTACAGAGATAAAAATATCTATTATGTGGCTAAAGTGTCACTTCATTCTCAGTGTGTAGACACATTAGATGAATTATTAAATGCTCATTCAAATAAACATCTACAATTTCATAAAACTATATATCAGGCTTATAGTTAAGTGACTTTAAGAAAAAATAGGTTTTACCGAAATTTTCTCACTTTCATTTATGTTTCGTAGAAAATGTGAAAAAAAAATGAGACTTTCTTAATGTATACAACTTAAGGAAACATTGATCCCTAAGTGCACAGGGGCGAAGCAGTGTGTACTTTTTACTCTGTTCATAAAACACTTTCCATGGAGGGTAAAGTGCTTATTGATATTCATAAGTATTTCTTTTTTCCTACTCCAGATAGCCAACACCTCTGAAAATTTCTTCAGGAAAGATTTTCCTTTTTACTTTATCCTTGCTTCTCTGTTAGGCATTTCCCTTTAAATATAGGGTGAGACAAAGGAAGTTACAATTGTTCATATGGAAAATAATACAATAATTAATATGTAATAATACAAGAATAAACTCTGTGTTTTGCATAGTCACAGCTGTACACCTCTTCTGTCCCACCCTGGACTGTAACACATTGTGTTCCATGATGGCCTTGAGGTGCAGCAAGGATTATAATGTAATGATGGTTAAAAGGTAATTTGTAAGTTCAAGCGCTCATGTAAAATCTGCTAATTTGCCTTCAGGAGTATATGAATTATTGAAGAAATTTCACAGGTACTAAATAACAATAATAAGGAAAATAAATGTTTTCAATTTCTAAGAGGGAAAACATAACTAAAAAAAAATCCCCCCTCATTACTAGTCAGTATCCTGCTATCTGATTCTTTCTGCCATTGGGAGAGTTTAATGTCTTCTTAGATTCTTGTGTGGTGAGTGGAGAAGTAGGGGTGTAGATTATTCTCCCAAAGAACTGCAGATTCAGGCATATCATTGTGTAACTGTGGATGGCTTTCTTCATGATTGGACAGAGTGTATTGTGTTCGTTTACAGAAACACATGCTAAAGTAAGACACAGTACTCAGGGCAATCTTAGCCAGATTGATAAGTATTTCACTAATGAACATCCACATATGTACTGAGGCTGGCAGACAAAACAACTTAATACAAATCAGATGTTCACTTCTTGGCCAATACACAGGGGCTCTTCTTAACATCTGGACAACTATTTCAATGCCCAAATAAAATGTAACATCAATTCTTATGAGCAAAGAAACCCAAATGTACTTACTACATAATTCCCAGGAGATGCTGAGGAGTACGGTATCTGGAACATGAACAGGACAAAAAAAAATTTTTTAATTTGTGTGGCATTATGGGACATGACTAAAATGAAGCTATTTTCTAACTTTTATCAAGTTTTAAAATGTATCACAAAGGATAGTAAAAGATAAAGGCATTTTTACTGTCTGAGTGCTATTTATTCCGAGTGAACAAGTGCAATATTATATTGAATTTACAAAAAGAGTCGACTTTAGTCAAGAAGACTTTAGACAGAATTGCAGCTAGCTTTAAGATATATTGGTTTCAGGCCAGTTGTACTCACTGCTTGTTACTAATGACACTTATTCTGTAATTAGAAAGATAGATATTTGTGCAGCTAAAAACCAGAAACCAGAATTTTTCAAATTAGTAGCCTTATGAGATGCAACTTCTAATTTATGTGCATTCTGAGATACATTATTTTTTCCTTAAAAGACAGGTATCAGAGTACTACATTCAAGTAGTACTTAATATAGAGACCTCACCTTTTTCCCTTTCCTGTCTAATTAACTACTAGAAAATAATAAATTCAAATGTTTTGTTAATATAAGCCTCCAAAGACTACTAATTTCTGGGGATCAGACATGGGTAACAAATTCCCTCTTTTCTTTCCAATCAAACTCTTAATCAAGATCTTTTCTAGAGATAACAAGGTATTAATACAACACTGCTATGATAATTTTAAAAACAAAAACTGGAAAACAGGTATAAAAATAAGCCCCTTTGAGTGTGCATATTAATAGAGTTAAATCCAAGTATTTTCTTTCTTCACATAAGCTGACTCACTCACATGGAGATTCTGTACATCCAGGAGAGACATTTTTGCCTTATTCTTAAAAAAGCCAGTAAGTTTCTATCTTCCTGCAGTTTGGCATCCAGGGCCAGAATAGGACCTTTAAAGTAGTGAAAAGATTATAGTGCCTGTACCTGTAACTCTCCTTCCCCCCCACCGCAATACCTTCCATGTGATTAAACATAAAAACAATATGCAACCATAAACCAGAAGGAAGAAAAACAAAGCTATGGTTTTCCATTTATAAATAAGTTTTTGGGGAAACCTTTAATATTATAATTTTAAAATTTTCTCCTCATAGATTTTGGTGACCCTGATTTGGCTTAAGCAAGAGCACAGAGCACATGTGTATGAGGCCTTGGGATGGCCTCCTGTAGGTAGCTCAGCACTTGCAGATGGCCATTCCCAGAGTGCCCAGCATCACTAGGGATGAGGATGACTTCCACTATGAGTTCTGGTCAGTAAATACTTACTCAACTTGGCGAATGAATGCAATTTTGCTCTCTTGGGCCCCTTTGCGTTCATGATCTACCATTCATCCTGTGTTTTGTATTATTTTAAACTTGTGCATCTGCCCTTTCCAAATGAGCAATTAATTTATCCACTGGCTCCATTTTTTTCCTTTCCTTATAACTGGCTCCTGTTCTTCTACTTCTCTCTATCATCTACCATCATTCCTAAGCAACTTCAAAATTTGCTCTAACCACCTACTATCCTTTAGATCTTTGGAATTTACACTTCACTGCCTTTCTTTACTGTACAATATACTTCCTTGTCTTCCATTTATGAGTATGGCCACATCCTGAACTCTTTACACAAAGATCTAAACAATTCCCTTGCCTGACATTTTTCTTGTTCCTCATGACATTCACAAAAAACTATTCTATTTTAACCAGGATCTTCTCCATCACAATTTCTCCATGTTTACTAAGTTCATTTTTCTATTTCCTACCAAATTGCCTCTGCCTCCCCCATGCTACTCTCAGCATTTTATTTCTTTCTTCAACATCTTAAATTCGTTTTCCTAAAGCCTACTTTGTTAATTTCCACCTCTTTGATCACTCCCTAACTAACTTCTGTTTTACAATAGGGGTTTCTGGGAGAGAAACACAAAACAAGCTTGACCAGGTCCAACATATAATCATGTTATCCAGCTTCTGCCTAGTCTTCACCAATATGTGGTAGCATTTCAGCTCAACCTCTAGGGAAGCCCTGAAGCATCCAATAGTATGCCAGTAACGCCTGCAAACTCAGGAGAGAAAGAGCCCCATTTTGTAGCCAATTTCTGTGGTATAAATATTCCCACATGGCAGATTACAAGCTACTGATGATTTAACAATCAGCTCACAAAATTCCTAAATATTTAACAATTGACTTCTGTGAACTCATTCTCATGATGACTATACCATCCTGAGTTGGTATCTTGCCCTTTTGTTAAACATTAAAGGCATCAAATTCTTGCTCTGCCTTCACTGTTACCTCAATACTTTATTATTTATAGATTTAAACTTTTATCCATTCATCTCAGGTAGAAAAAAATAGGTTTCTAAAGCTAGCCACTCTTGATCATCCCATTTGTCTGGTGTCCTTACTCCTTCATGTTTTTAATTTCTCCCTCTTCATAGCTCTTTCAAATATAGTTAAATATAATAAACATTTTAAAATACTTTAAAACTTTATCTCATCTAGTTGTTCAATTTCCTTTTACTTTTTGAGCTCTTTAATTTTGGCTCATATTCACTGTTTCTACTTCTTATTCCTTGATGTCCTCATTAAAGGTAAAGGAGCACTTGGGCTCCTACCCCTTGCGCTCTACTGAACCTGAACTCTTGAAAGTTAATAATTAATGATAATAACAGAAATAAGTGCTTTCAATTTCTAAGAATGGAAACAAAACTAAAAAAAAAACTCCCCTAGTATGAGAGACATAAAATATAACAATGTAGGTAGAAGTATTATGTGGGTCCAGAAGATATACTTGAACCGGGCAGCTGAGACTTACAGAGAGGGTAACCACCAGAAAGACAAAGAACAGCATTAAAGGAAAGGAGGAAGGGAGGGAAGAAAGGAAAAGAAAAGAAAGGAAATAGTTTATTAAGGAAATGATTATGTGCTTTTATACAGCTGCTGCAGCGTGGGCCTCAGAGGGGCTGTAATAAATGATGAAATTTATGGCAGACTGTGAATGAATTTAAGCTGTAGGAAACAGGGAGTCAGGTTTTAGAGAGAACTGAAATTTATGTCTCAGTAAGATAGACAACTCTAGACATCATGGAATATGAATACAAGTTAGGAGATGACTGTAAAAAGTCTAGGTGAGAGACTAGACTAAATCCCCAATAGAGGGATTTAGGCAATGCTGATTAAGGTAAGTAGGGGGAGGAGAATTTGAGAGACTTTTGGCAAATGTAGTAGGCAGGGCTTGGTGACAAACTGGGTGAGGTAGACAAGGGAAGGAAAAAATTAAGGTAATTCCTAGGTTTCCAATTTAGTGACTAGGTGGATGATGGTGCTACTGATTTATACATAGGGAATTCAGGAATAGAGACAAGACTGAAAAAATGCCTGACATGTTGGCTTTGAAGGCACTAGTAGACACTGAGGCAGATCTGATCAGCAAGTATTTAGAAAAATAGGTCTAGACCTTATCAGAGATTAGGACTAGAGCTACAACTTCAATATCCATTTTGTGCTGGGCACAGCACTTGATCTAGGATTCAACTAGATATTATGATAGTTGAAATCAAATACAAATGTTAAAATGAAAAAAAAAATCTCAAGGTTGAAATTTGAGGGCACTACCAAATGAAAAAGGGTGAATGTGACCAGAGGAAAATCAGGAGAAAATATCTTACACAAGTCAAGCAAGTTAGACTTTTATGAAGCAGGGAGTGTGTGCCGCTTGGCTAGGAAATGTCTAAACTGGGCTTGTTCTTAAGTCTGTCAGGCTCAAGCCTTTCAACCTTTCTGTGACACACATAAGAATAATTTATGAAAAGAAATAAGTTAATACAAATATAAAGAAACTTTATTAAAATGAAGAAAATAAACTAACATATTTAAAACAAAACCAAGGTGTCAAATTATTTCAGAAATTGGGTATGATTGAGAACAGGAAACAAGTCATTGTGTTTGGTTGGTAAATAGGTCTCTAGTAACATTCAGAATAGGACTTTCATGGAGACTGAAACTGTTGAGAAGTCAATTCAGCAAATCTTCCTTTATCACCTGCTATGTTTCAGGCACTGCACTACTGCACACTTTTTCAGTACTGAAAAAGACAGGAAGGGCAAGGAATTCACTATCTAGAAGAATGGTGGTGAGAAAGTGAAAGTGTAGGAGACATGGGATGGTGTTTTGGGACTGAGAAAAGGTAGAGAGTAATTTTCTATCAGCTACCCCCTCCCAAATCTAGAAGAGTAGAACACTAGGGTTTTAAGGAAGTTTTGAGATTTTGTTCATTGGAGTGGTGTTAGAGGAACATTCTAGTCAATGGTGAGAACTAGGCTGAAGACTCCTTTGGAAGAATGAATGAGTAAGATATAAAGAGAACAGGTAAAAGGTTTAGCATTGAAAGAAAAGCATTTCTTTTTCTGAGACAAGAAAAAAGAAAGATGACAAGATCTGATAATATTGGAGGTGAAGAGTAGAATCTAAAGGAATTGGAGTCTCATTGTCTTATTTTTTTTCTCTATAAAATATGAGACAATTTTAGCTGCTAAAGAAGGGGCCAAGGATAAAGAGAGCAGAAAAGGTCACTGAGTTACGAAAGAGTAAAAAAAAATTGCTGATCAAGCATCATGAGGACTCAGTAGCAGTTGAATGTTATAGATTTAAATGATCACATAATGTGTTAAGTACAGATATAGAAATACGCATTAGGCATTGAAAATTGAAGGTGGTGTTCTACAAATAATTCAAATTCGACATTCCAAAAACAAAGCTCACTCTCTATCCTCTCAACCTCCTTCTTCTACTATGTGTCTACTCAGTTTGTGTTATTCTTAGTCTCCCTGATACTGGACGCAAACATTTGAAGCCACTTCCAGCCTTTTCCTTCTCTTTACCCCCAAATCTGACATGTCATCAAGTGTTTTCTTATTCCATTTGTGAAATGTATCTGCACCTTTCCTTTTATCACCACTCTATCTCAGGCTCTGATAACATTTTATAAGGGTCTATTACCATAATTTCTTAATTTTGTTTCCTTA